AAGCAGTTCGAAGACATCAAATTTCAAGACTGGTTCCGAGACATGGGGATCCAACAGAATTTTACTTCAGTCGCGCACCCTCAAGCAAACGGTCAGGCAGAAGTAATGAACAGAGCCATCCTCCGCGGACTAAAGGCACGGCTGGACCGAGCTAAAGGATTGTGGGCAGATGAACTACCCAGCGTCCTGTGGGCCTACCGGACCACGGAGAAGACCGCCACGGGAGAAACACCCTTCAATCTCACCTACGGCACCGAAGCAGTGATCCCCGCAGAGATCGAAGTACCTACGTTGCGCCTAGAAACATACAATGATCAAACAAACGAAGATGAGCTACATACCAACCTCGACCTACTCGACGAAGTAAGGGACCTCGCGTACATTAGGACCGCAACCTACCAGCAGAGAGTAGCTCGGTACTATAACGCCAGGGTCAAGAGGCGAAACCTTCGTGTTGGCGACCTGACCCTTCGTAAAGTTATGGTGCCTGAGCCCGGCGCTGGCAAGCTCGGGTCCAACTGGGAAGGTCTTTACCGAGTGAAACGAGTGCTCGGGGAAGGAACATACGAGCTCGAGACCCTCGAAAGGTAAGCAAATACCTAGGGCATGGAATATTATCAACCTAAAACAATATTATCTGTAAAAATCGAGTAGGCCACGGGCCACTCCCTAATCCTAAGGGCCAAAATACCGAGCTAACATGACCTCGGCACATAAGACCCAACCGTCTCTTCGGCACGGGTGAATGTAAGGGTAAGAAGAGTGGACTACGAGTCGTTCCCAGAGCCTAAGGGCCACAAGAAGACCCCAGTTGCCACCTCGGCCTGGGTAAAATCCAGGAGAGGACTACGGGTCCCTCCCTAAGCCTAAGGGCCACAAGAAGACCCCAATCGCCACTTTGGCCTGGGTGAAATCCAAGAGCAAACTACGGGTCCCTTCTTAAGCCTAAGAGTCACAAGAAAGCCCCAGTTGCCACTTCGGCATGGCAAACTGACAAAAAACCTGGTTATCTCTAACCCTTAAGGGAAAGACAGTTCGTGTATAAACTCTACGGTGTCTATACCCTTGCTGTTCTTACTCAGCTCGGAAACCTGATAGTCCAGGGTAACCCGCGCGACCCGAAGTAACACAACTTCACTCAATTACCCTTACCGCCAACTCGGTGGCTTGACAGCTCGGGTAACCTATATATTAAATTCACCAATTTGGAGTCCACTCACACTTAGAAGTATTTTTGCACTCAGAGATACTCGAAAGAAACTATATTTCATTAAAAAGAGAGTTCAGGTACAAGAGTTTTCACCCGAGCTCAAAGGCTCAAGATAGTACATTCACAGTTTAGAAAGAGAAAATATTAAGTTACAAATATAAAGGGCAAACTACTTTGGGGGCTCGCCGCCTCTATCAGGGACCCCCTAGGAGACAGTGTTGGACCGACATCCTCTGCTCCATCTTCGGAACCTTCATCCTCGGAATCGGGGTCGTCTTTTGACTGACGCACGATGTCGTCAGCAATCCGTGAAGTAGTAATGGCACTCGTGTCCAGCTCGGGGTAGAGGTGCTTGATCAGCCACCGACTGAGCTTGAAGCCCTTACGATATGCCTCCGTCATCACATCGTCGAATCTCGAAGAGTTGACGTAGTCAATGACGACCTGGGTCTTGGCCTCCTCAAGAGCACCTTCGAAGATTGCAATCTTCTCCCTTATATCCTCTTGGAGGTACCCCACTTCGTGCTCTAGTTTCCCCTTCACTTCCTTGAGGCCTTGTACCTCGAACCTCAGAGCATCCTGCTCAGCCTTGAGGCTGCTCACCTCTAGCCCTAAGGCCTCCTGACCGACCTTGAGACCGTTCACTTCGGCCCTCAACTTATCTTTATCTCGAGCCAGCTCTCCCTTCTCTAAGCGGTGAACCTGACAACGAGCTGCCCTCAACTCAGTATGGGCTGAGCGAGATGATTCCTCAGCCTTCAGAGCCTGCCTCAGATGTCGCTCTGATTGGAGGGTCAAGGCGCGAATGGCGGAGTTCACCTGCAAAAAGGAAAACCGGGTAAGAGGGAGACCACAAAAAAAAGGGGGAAGGGGGACTCACCACCATAGTATGAGTGGCATCTCGGGTGCCGAGCTGACCAGGAGTGAGTTCGGCCCACTCGCGGACCTCCCCCAAATATGCAGCCAGCTCACTCTTCTTCAGGCTGCATTGGGGGTTTAGGACGGTTTGGCTCTCCTGACCCTCCGAGCTGGAAGCCGTCATCTCCACATCGCGAGCGCCAGTTAGGAGTGACTGGATTGTGTACATCAAAAACTAATAAATGATTAAATGCAAAGTTAGGTTTATGATATATTAGAAAAAAAGAGTTTAAAAGAAATAGAACTAAATAAATACATAATACGTATGTAAATTTAATGAATTGGTAGTACAAATTAGGATACATTTAAGATTGGAAAATGAATAAGTCACTATGGGTGATATTCAGTTAAAAACTAAAACTTTTAAAACTGAAAATTTAAATGAAAAACCGAACTAAAACTGAAATTTTTTGTTAAGTTTTCGGTTATTTCAGTTAAAACTGAATTTCAACACTATATATTTTTTTAATATATATTATAGTGTATATTTGAATATGTAATATATATCATATATTAAAAAATATATATCATACGATGTGTATAATAAATTATATATTTTAATATATTTTATACATGTTAAACATGTATTATATGTTAATATATATCATAGATAGATAATAAAGTTCGATTAATTCAGTTTTTTTGGTTAACTAGATTTCTGAACCTGAAAATCAAAACCAAAATAACCAAAAACTGAAACTGAAAATTTTGGTTTGGTTTTTGGTTTTAACCAAATAATGCTCACCCCCTAGTTATCACTTCCATTATCATGGTTAAGTGCTTCGTAGCAATAGGGGAAAGTGACGAGAATGTTGCTCATAGAATTAGAGCATGATGGGAAAATGGGGGGATGCATCCCAATTCGTACATAATAGGCGAATACCACTTTGATTGAAAAAGGGGAGATTTTATAGAAGGGTTATAAGGCATGCTATATTATATGGAGCAAGAGTGTTGGACATTTAAAAAAAAAGTCCAAAGATTTAGTGTGGCATAAATGTGTGTCTTATATAGATAAATGTTAATAATATAAAGGATAAGGTCAAAATTGAAAAAGTTATAAAATGAAAGAAAATAGACTATAATGATTTGGTTACCTGTATAAAAAGGAGATTGGGTCTGATCTCCATAGATCATGCATTGAGAACATCTCATCTGAAGTGGGTGTGAAGAGTGCTTTTGTGATTAGACCTGTTCATGGTTTGGGTAGCCCGATGGCCCACACCACAGTTGGGCTTGGACATGTAGTTAGGCCCACATGCCTGATTTTGGGTTCAAAACACCAGGCCCGATTGTGTTTTGGGCCAGGGTTGAGATTTATCAAAAAAGCTCGGCCCAACCAATTGATATAATATAAAATATATAATATTTATCATAATATATTAATAATTTAATATATACAATTCTTTATTTATTTTTCTTTATAATCTCCCTTTCTCTCTCTCTATCTATCTGTTTAGTTGCTTCAGTGATAGCATCGGCATGAACTTTAGATTTTAGGCTCGGGCCTAGGCCCGGGTTTCAGGCTTTTTATGAGGGCCAGGCCCGGGCCCAATGGTCGGGCCAAGCTCGAAGTTGAACCTTAAAAAAATCTTCTAATTAAGAGTGAAAGCCTGACCCAAATTAGATGGGCCAGAAAAAATGGGAGACTCAAAAAATACTTGGGTGAAACATGAAAGATTTGGAACATATGCCGTTTTCTTGAAAAATGGCACAGTCAAGATCACTTTGAAATCCAACTTTTTAGACCTTACCTAACTATGTTATACGTTTTCCGAAAAACATCTTCTCATACCACTCATTGGAAATCGGAAAAGATGTGGCCTGACAAACATTTTTTTGATATTTTTCTAATCTTACTAGCAATAATATGTTATGTGGCGCATGTCAACCACCAATGATTACAAACAAAAAATAATAATAAACCGTTTAATGAAAATACAACCAATACAACATTATTTTCTCAAAAAACACCTATCAGGAAACGACATTAACTCGAAACATGACCATGTACTTAAATGCCTGATTCATTCACAGTGGATATGATCGCATGACGACGAATAGAACGAATTTGTGAATTAATGATTCTTGTAGCCGACCCCGTAATCCGTAGGGACAAGGCTTATACAGAAACATACTAACAAAGATATGGTCCCGATAAGACATCCGAATGCACCGATGACCGGTATATATGTATCGGTTCTAGTATTGCTATTCATTTTTTCCCTACTGTTTTCTTTTCGGTCCGACTCCGCTCAAAACTCAAAACATAGGAAACTCGTCCGAGTTGCATGGTTAACTCGTACGAGTGTAATATATTATTAGCAAGGAATCATTAGTTTTGGGCAAATTGTTGAAATCTCCCCGAAGTTTACCTTTGATGAAATTTGTCAATTGCAATCATTTTTTCTAAATTTTTTGACAGTTGCAAGTAGTTCCTTCTGTAAGAATCATTTAAATATATGCATGAAAATGTATAAAATATCCATGCAAATACTTTTAAGTTTTGATCAAAATGATTAATTTTCAAATTTTCTCTTTATATGAATTGATGGTTTACCTTTCATATCAATTGCTTAAAGGATTATACTTAAAAGTTCAAATAAATGGGTATTTTTAGATATTTTTATACCTTTTACCGACAGATTTTAAGAAAGGGAATCTAGAGGAATATCAGCCTGAAGTAACTTCAGGGGAAGTTTCATCAATTTACCCTGGGGTTATCGGTCATTCTCCCTATTATTTTTGAGAGGGACAATCGAGTCGACTCGGACGTACAGGCCCAAGCCCACTTAACAGTATTCTAACAGTATTCTGTAATCTGTAGTCTTTGTACTGACGTACTTTGACTGTGGATGAGAGTATCAGAAAGGCGCGGGACATACGCACATAAGAAAAAGAGGGCGATGAACGGAGCAAGCAGAAGATAGCACCGAAGAGGGGAAAGCAAATGAAGAACGATCATCTCTGCAAATCCTAACATCATTCCCCCTCATTCTTTCTTTCTTTATGTATACTTCCCTACTTCTCCATGGAAGCTCTGATCGAACTCTGCGACTTGATTTCTCAGAACCCGGCACAATTTGCGGGGAAGCTTTCCTGGATTTGCAGCAGATGTCCTCCTCCGGGTTCCCTCCTCGCCGGATCTCATAGGATTACACGGTCTCAGCTCAATGCGGTACTCGCCGTCGCTAGATTTCTTTCCAAATGCTCTTACGAGTTCGACCTCCGACCCAAATCGGTGGTCATCGAGTTTCTCCGGTCAATTCCGGATTCGTTTCGTCAATCTTTTTGGCCGCAGTCATTTGGAATAGAACCTATCTCCGTGTTCTATTCCGATTTCCTAGGTTATATTGTGGAAGCGTCGGAGTTATCTGCGGATTTCGCTGCCGAAGTTGCTGATTTTATGGGGGAAATCATCATAGCGGCTACTACTATTGTCAGTGATGACGTGGGAATCTCTAAAGCTTTCTTGACGGCCGTGTCGCAGAACTGCCCGCCAATTCTTTCCTCGGAAGCTGAGAGGTTGGTTTGTTGTCTCTTGGATCAGTTTGCGGTTGGTTCTCCGAGTTCACCCAGGGAGGCGGTGCCTATAGCTTCAGAGACATCCTCTACCCAAAGTTCGCCGCTTGCAGGGAACCGGTTCCAAGTGAATGAGAGTTGGAGTCCGGGAAATGAAGCGAACAATGCCTCCGGATCGTCGAGTAGCACAACTTCTAAGGGTGCAGATGATGCCACTACTGCATCCTCAAGGGGTACTGTAGTGAATGGTATCAGCATTGGCTGGAGGAGCAGTGTGGACCAATTGGGTACTAGTTTTGGGTTCAATGACGGGGGAGAAGGAGGTGCTGCCATGTTGAGGCAGCAAGTCGTCATTTTCGAAGAAGAGACCTTGGAGGGTTTGGAAAGACAAGAGGTCGCCTTGAGGCTACTTGGGCACATAGTGGATAAGGTCCCCATCAAGGCCGGGCATTTGGATCAGGCGAGGATTGTTGCGAAGAAGCAGCTCCAATCTTTATCAGCGTTTCTGAAGGTAAAATTATTCGTTCTCTGTCGTTCTTTTGGTTAAGTTGTTAATGCCTTTTCAATTTTACTCCTCCAGTCTTTTTCTTTGAAGGGATTAGCTCCTCTTCCAAGTTCCGTCTCAATTGGGCTATTGATTTTCTGGGCAGATAAGGAAGCGTGACTGGACAGAACAGGGAACCCCGCTGAGAGTCAGAATTGTTACAAAATTATCTGTTTTCCGAGCTGCAGCACAGTTGCAAATCAAAAGTCTTGCGTCCATTGATTCTGATGGGAAATCATCAAAGAAGTTGTTGCTCGAGACACTTGCATTGCTAATTGATGCTGCAGAAGCTTGTTTGCTTTCCGTGTGGAGAAAGCTGAGAATTTGCGAAGTGCTGTTCAACTCATTGCTTTCTGGAATCTCACAAATTGCTGTTACACGGGGAGGTCAGCTTTTACGTGTTCTGCTTATTCGCTTGAAACCGCTTGTTCTGACTACATGTGCCCAGGTGCATTTTTTTTCCGTTGACTCTATCGTTCCCTTCTTATTCCGGTATGCAAGATCCGGGAGTAATATATATATATATATATATCATTTGTTGTACTATGCTGTTTGAAACAGGGAGATACGTGGGGAAACAGCCAGGATGCCATGTTTGAGAGTGTCACAAAGACAAGCTGTGAGATTATCGAATTTGGTTGGCGCAAGGATCGCGCTCCTGTAGACACTTTTATAATGGGATTAGCTGCAAGTATTCGTGAACGAAATGATTACGAGGAACAGGTTAGTATCTCATGTTCATTTTCCTGGATGACCCACTCGTGTAGTTTTGCTTTAATGTCTGTGTTTGGAGGAATGGCAGGTCTTATTGGTGATATGGATTCATCAAAAGTGAGTACGAGAGTGCTTTTAACGTGGGTTTGGATTGCTAGACATTCTAGGATTTCCTCCCTTTGTCATTGAAGAAAGTTTGGCCAAGGCAATTAGGTGGAGCCAAAGAGTGTGGATTGGCCTGTGGCGGGTTGCACTACCTAAAAGAAGAGGAACCATGGCTGGTTTGAGGATGTAGATCCATTGGTTTCCTAGATAGTTAAACCCCACTGCTGATAGTCTTGCCAAATCTGAGATACAAAGTTTATTTTTATTTATTATTTTTTAAAATACAGCTAAACACCACTGCCGATAGTCTTGCCAAACTGGTGAAGATGCTAGTTGCAGCTCTTCTGCATCACTGTAATCCTTTCATGTAGAAATCCCTTTTTGATAGATAATACAATACTGTTACCTTCTCCGAAATTTTAACTTAGAAAATCAGATTGCTAAATCAAATGAGTGTAAAAAACACCCTAACACAAATTCTGAAAGTAATAGCTATAAGTTTTAATTCAATTTTGGGCATTAATGATTGGTCTGATGAGCATTTAGTTTTTCTTGTTTTTTCTCTTTTGTGTTATCATTTATCAATCCATCTAGGTTCCTAGTGGTCATTTATCCTGCATGGTTTTAAAATGTCAACATATTTTCTAATATTTTCACAACACATATCCTTTTCCATGGGTTGGTTGACATAAAAGATTCTTGGAATCAACATGTTTTCTAGTGCTGTTATATTGTTTTCAACACACTTGCTTTATTAATTATATCGCTGCAAGGTTTTCAATTTACATATACATTGATCCTATGGAATGCATACCTCTCCCTTTTGAAGTGCTTATCAACTTTAATATGTTTAGTTCTATCATGGAGAACTAGATTGGCTACTATGTTGATAGTTTCTTTGTTGTCACAATACAAAGATATATGTTTGTTTACTGCAAACCCAAGTTTTATAGATTATTCTTCCGTATTCACTTTAGCTGCTCCATGAGCCATCACTCTATACTCTGCTTTAGCACTTGATCTAGCTACAACTCCCTACATCTTACTTCTCCAGATAACAAGATTACCCCCCACAAGGGTACAATAATCACTAGTTGCCTTTATACTTCCTGTCAGTCTTTAGAATTCCTAAAAGGGAGGCAAAGAGGTTGGAAAAAGTGATGGGGGACTTCTTATGGGAACCTGGGGAAGAGAAAAAAGATCACTTGATTAGGTGGGAGGTGGTGAGTAGAAGCAAAAATGAAGGAGGCCTAGGCTTAGGGAATGTGGTGAGTAAGAACGAAGCTCTTTTAGGTAAGTGGCTTTGGAGGTGGCCCTTGGAGAGGGAGAGGTTGTGGCATGAAGTAGTGAAGAGTATCCATGGTTGTTCTGAATCAGGTTGGGATGCGGAGGTATCCCGAAGGGCTTCGCTTACAACACCTTGGAAGGCTATTTATGGCGTTTTCCCAAAGTTCCTTTGATTTGTAAGGTATGATGCTTGTTCTGGAAACTCCATTCTTTTTTGAGAAAATATTTGGGTGAGCACTTAACCCCTAAAAGACCGCTTTCCTTCTCTCTATTCCATCTCCCTCTTTAAAAAGAAACCAATTTCATGGTTTCTTTCCCCCCCGGTTCGCCCTTTGGATTTAAACTGGAATTTTGGGTTTCGAAGAGCGTTAAGGGATGAAGAACTTCTTTGTGTTTCAGAGCTCTTGTTCCTTCTAGACTCAGTGTGCCTGGACCCCCTAACCTGGATAAAAGGGTTTGGTCTCTAACCTCGGTTGGCTCTTTCACTTGTGCTTTTTTCTTTAAAGCCCTTTGCTCTTATCCCTCTTCTCAGGTGTTCCCTGTTAAAGAGGTCTGGTTAAGGCCAATTCCTCCTAAAATAGCAGTGTTCTGTTGGGTAGCCTACTTGGGTAAGATCAATACGGTGGAAAACTTGCAAAAGTAGAAACCTTACTTGTGTTTGTCCCCAAATTGGTGCTTCTTGTGTAAAGTGAAGGGTGAGGACTGTAACCATTTACTGATATTGTGCTCTTTTGCTGCCAATATTGGGAACTGGGTTGTTGCACTATTTGGGTGCAGGTGAAACTTGCCCTCCGAAGTAAAGCTGCTGCTGTTCATTCCGGCTGCCTTTGGGAGATTGACAAAAAGAGGGAAACTAATGTGGAAATGTATTAGAGCCACTACCTTGTGGACTTTATGGGAGGAGAGAAATGCTAGAATATTTCAAGAAAAGGAAACAAGTCTTGCTGAAATTAAGGAATGCATAATGACAAGGACAGTCTCGTGGCTAAAATCTTCACACTTGTTGGCAGATTACTCCTTTGATGACTTAAGGAGAAACTGGGCAGCATTGGCTTCTACAATCTCGACAAAGAACAAATCAGAAGCTGAATGGGAATCCCCACTGGATGGGGTGGTAAAACTGAATTTTGATGGTAGCTGCCAAGGTAACCCAGGGCCATCTGGACTAGGAGGGATTCTGAGAGACAAAGATAGCAACATGTTGTCTTTATTTTCAGGACCAGTGGGTGTTGGTGATTCTGTAAGGGCAGAGATACTAGCAGCGGTACAAGGTATACAGATGGCCAATCAACTTGGAGTGAATAATTTGATAGTAGAAGGGGATTCCAAGGTAGTAATGGGCTGGTTGACAAGTCCAGAGACAACTTGTTGGGGCTACAGGGATCTGTTAAAGAAAGTTAAATGGCTGACAAGGAATATGTCGGTCAGGATATCAGCAAATGCAATGCTTGATTCTTTGGCCAAGCAAGGGGTGTCAAGGGGAGATCTGTTTTGGGCCACTTTGTAACTGTGTTTCAGGCTTGTGTTTGTTTAGTGTTTATGACTCAATCCTAGGGGGAGGTAACACCTCGTGCCTCTTCCTAGGTTGAATTTACTACTATTTTTTGAATTAATAAAACTACTCTCATTTATCAAAAGAAAAAAAAATCACTAGTTGACCTTCTATCATCAACTGAGCTTACTCAGTCAGCATCTGTGTAGACCTCAACCCTCAAATGGTCATGAAAAAATTGACCTTTTCGAGGATGTTTTTTCAAGTATCTAAGAACTCTTTCTGCTGTTGCAAAATGTGATATTTTGGGGGCATGCATTATATTGGCTGAGAGCTCTAACAACATAGGTATCTGGACAGATCATGGATAAATTCAACTCAATCCTGATGGCTTCCAAGTTTGTGATTTTTCTTTATGGGGGATTCATCTGGTTTGGCCCCTAGCTTTGCAGTATCTAGTAGAACATCAAGAACATACTTCCTCTGAGATGCAAAAATGCCCCTCTTTGAGGAGGTGAAGTTAGTTTTTGTGAAAAGTATCCATTTCTTCCCTCATAGCATCTATCCACTCAGGCACAATTACTGGTTTTGAAACATTTTTGGGAACTGAGGTATCAAGAACAACTGACAAAAAGGCATGGAATGAAGGTGAAAGGTTTTCAAGGGAGTCGAAGTTAGTAATGGGATAACAAGTGTGAACACCTTTGTATTTTTCAACGGGAAGGTCAAGATCATTCACAGTAGTGAAAACATTAACAGGATTAGAAGTGTATAGGAACAAGCATACCTGATTGGGAGGGACAAGTGCTATCTTCTAGGTTTGCCTCCTAAGAATTTGGTAACATAAGTTGCATAGTTTTTGATCCCTCCATACCTTTTGAACTCAGCTGATTTGCACAACGTTGTTTATGGGTGAATACATAGAAAGGAGCAGGTTCTGGAAAGGACGGAAAAAGAATATGCCTCTCCTCTAGAATAGGATGAAGGCTTAAATCAATCTGAGGTTGTTTCTTGAACCCAGAAATCAAGAAGAGAAATTTGGAGAAGAGAAAAAAATTGATAAATTAAGAGTGATCAGACTTCAGAGTTCTTGCTCTGGTACCATATAAATCATAGCAAAAGAGAGGAGAAGAAGCAGAAAAGAAGAAGAGAGAAGAGGAATAAAGCAAGAGAAGAGAGGGCCAAAAGTTTGGAGCTCAAAAAGATGGGCTGGCAGTGCCCCTTTTATTTACTTATACTAGGGTGACATCAACATGACATAAAATAAAGTAAAAAGACCTTCCTACCCCTGTGGAACTAAACTCTACATTATGGCAATTTCAATGGTTGCTCCTTTGACAACCCAAGATCTCTTGGAATTTGGGTAGCTTAGAAAACCACTGGGGCTGTTGGTTGTAGCCTTTCTGGTTGTATTTGTGAGGGAAGTCCCATAAGTGTAGAAATTATGAAATTTCTATGGGGAAGTAGGTTTCTCTATTGGTATGCCCCTCAGTGCATATGGCTGTTTTCTTCTCTATTCCTATCCATGGGAGTCAGACATTACATCCTTGTGTTATTTATGCTCTAATAAATTCCTTTCATCTTTATTGGTGATAAAAAAAGAAAACAATGGATTTAATGCTTGATTTACATCTTCAAGCATTAAGGCGATGAGTCTGCAAGAGTGTTATTAAATATTTATCATATGGTCCACCCTTACATATCTAGATATTATATTAGTTGTTCATTGAGCAGGGTTAGCAGAACTGACAATGTATGTTACACTGCAAACCTGCTTATGAGTTGCAGGTTAATCATTTTGCAGATCTGGATACATTGAAAGCTGAGGAGAGACACCTGAAGTAGCCTTCTTGATTCTGTTGTTTATGTTTTTGTTGTCTTTCTTGTGGTGGGAACATAACAGAGGCCTGGGCAACCTGTACATGGTTCAAGGGTGTGCCATGAGAGAATGAGTTGAAAAGCTTCTATTTCCATTCTTTGTTTGGGTTTGTTTTTGAACAGGAAAGCTGGACTAGACTAGATTTTTTATCCTTGGTAACATAGGTTTCCTTGTGTTTAAGGATTATTTTTTTTTGATTTATTATAAATCAATTCAAATTTTATTAAAATGGAAATAATATGTAAAACAAAGGACATTTCTATCCAAGGTCAACTATGTGACTTAGGAGATATTTTCTGCTTTCATATTCAAGCACTTGTTATCCTTCCTGGCAAGTGGTAAAATTCAGCTAAGTGGTGGCTGATGTGCCTTCCTTCTGAAGTGTTTTTTCCTCTGCCACTTTTTACCTAAATGCTACTGCTTTTCCCCCTGCACATACAACTGAGCCATCTTCCATGTATTTTTCCCGAAACTGAGCATTAAGATATTTTCTATGACTTCTCTTTTTTTTTCAGTAGTCTTGATATTTCCTAGGTTCTATTTTGTGCTTTATCATTCTGTGCGTTGATCTTAAGCTATGATATATTCTGAGTGCCTTGTATTTATTTCTTATTTTAATGGTTAAGTATTTTTATATGCTTATTTACTCTTTTACCAATCTCAGGGTGGAAAAGAGAAACAAGCAATTCCTGTCATCCAGCTTAATGCTATACGCTTGCTAGCAGATCTGAATGTCTCTGTTAATAAGGCTGAAGTTGTGGACATGATATTGCCTCTATTTATTGAAAGCTTAGAAGAGGGTGATGCTTCGACTCCTGGTTTATTGCGACTCCGAGTATGAGACTTCGACTTCTGAACATATTTATGGTGTTTCATAGATTTTCCTCTCTCTGTCTCTGCCTCCCCCCTTTTTACCATTCGTTTACAGCCAATGACTTGGTCAATTGTGATTTGAATAGGTTCTGAGCCTGTTATGATTGAACTCTTGCAGCTTCTTGATGCTGTTGCTCGCATGGCAAGTTTGGGTTTTGAGAAATCCTATCGTGAGACAGTTGTTCTGATGACAAGAAGCTATCTGAATAAACTTTCAACCATAGGATCTGCAGAAAGCAAAACATTGGCTCCTGAGGCCACCACAGAGCGTGTAGAAGTCTGTATCATATAAACCTGGAACTTACTTATAAATATTCCCTTTCTTGTCTCAAATAGAAATTTCATTCTGTTAAAATGGATTCTCATTAGTTCAATCACATTCCAGACTCTTCCTGCAGGATTCCTTCTGATTGCTACTGGTCTTACTAATCCTAAATTGCGATCAGACTATCGTCACCGTTTACTATCTTTATGTTCAGATGTAGGGCTAGCTGCAGAATCAAAAAGTGGAAGGTAATACATTAGTTTCCTGATATGGAGGATATTTGCCATGGTTTTCACTAATTGAATGAGCTAAGACTGTTAATGGTCCTACTCTCCCACCCATGTAGTTGGGATTTTATTTTATTTTTCCCATTGGGTAGTAGTCATGCATGCCTTAGGAGCCATTATTGCTTATCATGCTTTAGATGGTATTACTACTGGTTTTGTATGGTCTTTAAAGCATTTGTACCTGATATTTGATTCTTTACAGGAGTGGAGCAGATTTTTTGGGGCCTTTACTTCCTGCAGTTGCTGAAATTTGTTCTGACTTTGATCCAACTGTAGATGTTGAACCTTCTCTTTTGAAGCTGTTTCGTAACTTGTGGTTCTATGTTGCTCTTTTTGGTTTGGCTCCTCCTATTCAGAAGAATCAACTTTCAACAAGATCAGTTTCTACTACTATGAATAGCGTCGGAAGCATGACAACCATGTCTCTTCAAGCTGTGGTTGGGCCATACATGTGGAATAGTGTATGGTCTGCAGCTATCCAGCGTATTGCTCAAGGAACCCCACCCCTTGTAAGTTAATGTGAAGAAGCATTTGGATGATACTATTGTTTCTTTGCTTAAGATAATAGTATAAAGTGGAATTTCTTTGTTCTGTATGCTATTTTCCTACTGTTTGTCTGTTGAAAGCATTTTTGGATAATATTTTTTTGCTTTATATAGTAGCTAGACCTGTTCATGGGCTAGGCTCGGGCTTGGCTTTTGCCGAAATTTGAATGGGGCCCGACCTGAAGCCTGAGCCCAACATAGTGTAATTCAGGCCCGAAGCGCGGCCCATGAACAGGTCTAATAGTAGCATTTGGTTCCATTGGAAGTGTCATTCGCTTACAAAAGTAATTCTACATTGTGCCTTTTGTTCTTTATATTCTGTATATTAATTACACAAGTGTCTGCCTAAATATTTTTAAGGCAAAAACTATTATTCATAAAAATGTTACTTTAATTAAACTTTCTAATGTTTGGTTGCAACTCAAAAACAAACTTGCAAAATGTTGTCATGGATTGAATTATTAGGTTTTAGGCTTGCTTGCAGGAGAAAGACTTGTATGAATCGAATATTTTCTTGTATGTAAGTGATTTTAATTAAATTTAATATGACAATTATCTTGTAGAACTCTTAAAAGTAAAGCCCATGATCATCTAAGATGCTAGGTAATTGTTCTGCAAGTCATTTTACCCCATTCTCTCTCTAGTTTTGGATATTGTTTTGCTTTCATTTATTTTGTACAGGCAACTAACATTAGAAAGTTGTATTTTTATAAAATAACTTTTTGCAACATTTGTACAGGCAACCGAACACTAGGCACATAGGCGAGGTGCACCCCCTTTAAAAAGGTGCTCTCTTGGTGTGCCTTGCGCCTCAGCCCCTTACCAAGCCCCTTGACGCAAGCCCAAATAAATCCATACTATGGTCTTAAATTCTTAATCCGTACTTAAAAATTGGTTTTAGTTCCTCATCTTTTAAGAATTTAAGACCCTAGCGTGGATTTATTTGGGCTTGCCTCAATGGGCTTAGTATTAGGCAGCTTGTAGAATTAGTGTAATGCAACTAGGAAAGAAATAAAGAGACTGAAAGTTTCATCAGTGTTCAAAGAACCAGACTAGGCACAAAACCGAAGAAGAAAGAGGCTCATGGGTCAGAGGTTCAACTGGGGTTGAACCGCGATGACATGGCTTATACATATACATATACATAGATACATGCATACACACACACACTATGGGTCATATAAATACTATATATAATATATTTAAATATGGTGGATGGATGACAAGTTCCTTAATTTTTAAAGCAAATGGCTAGGGTTCAAGTCTCTTAATTTACATTTTCTTTAAAATAAGTGTGTGATAAAGTAGTATGTACAATAAAGAGTCAATAACACAAGTAATGAGGTGGATTGGTGGTAATTAACAACATATGAAAATAAGAGGTCATGGGTTCAAATCTTGTTAAACACATTCTAAAATTTCAATTACTTAAGGACCCAGGCAGTTTCATGAAACCGGAACTGGTTCACCGGCTTTCTGGTTAAGCCGTTTGGTCAGCTGGTTTCACCGAGTTTTTAGCAAATATGGTTATTGGGGTGTGGCCGAACTGGTCACGGTTCAACCGGTCTGACCTGCTGGTCTGGTCTAGTTTCCTAAACACTGGGTTTCATGTGCTTGAGTTGTTGAGCGCTTGACTATGTTTTATATGTTATGTCTATGTATTCTAATTTGAGCTAACAGGATTTTTAACACATTTAATTTAAAATTTAAGTATGAATTTTTAATTAATATTAATTTTAAAATTTTGCATTTTAAAAAATTTAAAAAATTTTGCACCTCACTTCAAAACGGAGCATGTTAAGTCTGCCATATTCATTATGGATTTGCTTAAGAATGCTGAGAGTAATGCAGATGTGAAAGGTTTGGATGTGGATTCATTGTATATTTCCCACATCCAGGTAAACCAGGCTCAGAAACAGGGGCGCCGCACTTACTGAGCTCATGGGAGAAACCCCTACATGTCTTCTCCTTGCCACATTGAGTTGATCTTGTCTGAAAAGGAAGAAGCTGTAAAGAAAGAGCCTGAGACTCAGTTAGCTCCAAGGAAACCCTACAAGGCTCAAGCTCTAAGAAGTGGTACTTCTTGAGCAGAGGGGTAAAGGGGTTTTTTGCTGAAGGATGTGATTGATCGTTTCAACTTCACTTTAAAGGACGGTTTTTGTTTCTTCTGGATCAAATTTTGTTATTTAGAAGCATTGAAATCTTTTGTTATTAAACAAACTTTGTTGGTTTTACTTTTTGGTTTGGTTGCTAAGTGGAATTTTGGACCACTGTGAAGTAGTTAAATATTAAATGATCAGTAAAAAGTGGGGCGATCATTATACCCATAAAAAAAAGAGCATGCCTCACCTTGTGCCTTGGGTGCAAAAAGCCCCTTGTGCTTTTAAAACACTGATATGGGTAACTAGTCCTCAACTAACCACCACTAACATTGTTGATTACAATTCCCCTCTTGGGGTACTGTACCCCAAAACATATAATCTCTTGCAGCCCCTTGTTTTTCTTAGTGATTTAAAAGGCATGCCTACGCACAGGTGAGGCGCATTTTTAGGGTAGGCACCTCGCCCAGGTCCTAGGTGCAACACTTTCAAAAGGCGCACGCCTGATGCGCCTTGGCATGCGCATCAGGCGTGCGCCTTTTGAAAATTGTACGCTTTTTTGCTTTTTTTGAACCAAGCTGTTGGGCCGGGGGCTCCGCCCCTGGACCCCCGGCCACACCCCTCGAGGCAAGCCCAAACAAGTCCATATTCAAGTCTTAAATTCTTAACTCTCACACAAAAAAATAATGATTTTATAATTCTAATTGCCTTTTAAGAAGTTATTTTATTAAGATGAATGAATGAACAACATTAGCAAATAGGGGGTTTGGGCTTGCCTCGAGGGGTTTGGCACAAAGGCGACTCGTAGAATCAGGAATGTAATATGTTTTACATCACACTAGCTACTTGAAGTAATGCAATTGGGGAAAAAAGAGATTGTGGGCTTTACTTGCTTGAAAATGTTTTATATGTTTGATTTTATTTTTAAATTGTCATTTGAATATGCTTTACACGTTATGTTTATGTATTTTAATTTTAGATAATAGGTTTTTTAAACCATTATTTTTAAAATTTAAGTATATATTTCTTATTAATATTATGTTTAATATATATTTTTTTATTTTTTTGATTTTTCTGACACTTATTTTTGATTTTTTTAGCAATTTTTTTTGTATTTTTGCGCCTTGCTTCAAAATGGCGCGCGCTTGCCTTGCGCCTCTCGCCTCGGGTGGAAATTGGCCCTTGCAACTTTTTTACACCTTGTGCTTTTAAAACACTGGTTTTGCTAGACAAGCTGCTAGGCTGTTAGCAGATCAAGGTACTGACTTGATACTTGTTCTCAACTCCTCCATTAGTTCCTTAACCTCAGCATATGTCTGTACTTTCAAGATCTCTCCTGATTTCTTCCTAGCCATCCATATTACATTACAATCTGTGAATCCCCTTCTATTATGACAATTCTGCACTTCAATGGTTTTCCTTTTTTAGACCCCGTAAAACAGCATTCAGCTCTGCCCTAGTTGAGTCCCTGACCTCTACAAGATTTTATTACATGGCAAGTATTCTTCCTTTACACACCTACTCCTGAAATTCCTAGGCTGCCTAGATTGCACCCTTCAAAGTTTTAATGTATGGGTGTATGGGGATGGTAGTTTGCAACATCTTTTATATTCCATCAAATGCAGTCTTTCTGCAACTTCCCCCTTTCTCTTATTTTCTCTATGTCATCTGAAATACCTTTGCCCCTACAGGCAGGAAATAATAAATTTAAACATGAAAATGTTCTTTCAGACCATCATTGAAACTCCAATCATTATTTAGAATTTTGCTACTGTTGCAGTGAGATAAATTTCTTTTGTGAGAAAATAGTTTAGAGCCTTATTGTAAGAATGTGTATCTCGTGCAGGTTGTTAGCTCGGTTAAATGGCTTGAAGATGAGTTGGAACTCAATGCTCTTCACAATCCTGGCAGCCGTCGAGGTAGTGGTAATGAAAAAGCTGCTGTAGCTCAAAGAGCAGCTCTATCTGCTGCTTTAGGAGGACGAGTTGAAACTGCAGCAATGAGCACAATTACAGGTCTGGCAACCTCTGATAATTGTTTAAAAAACATAATTTTTTTTTATATTGTTGTAATAATATGTTAAACTAGTACATGCCAATATCAAGGCTTTAGACCTCAAACAAGTTCTCTTATCTTCTATTGCCTTTCTGAAATTTCACCTGTCCCAGATCCTGAAACAGTGTTACTTGATCAGATTTTCCAGTGCATCCATTTTAATTTTGACATCTTCCTGTTTTGTGTATTTTTTGTTCAGGTGTTAAGGCAACCTATCTACTTGCAGTTGCCTTTCTGGAGATAATACGTTTCAGCAGCAATGGTGGCATCCTTAATGGCCAGACTAGTTTGAGTGCTTCTAGAAGTGCATTCAACTGCGTGTTTGAATACCTCAAAACTCCAAATCTAAAGCAAGCAGTCTTTCAATGTTTGACTGCAATTGTTCACAGGGCTTTTGAAACAGCAGTTTCATGGCTGGTATTTATTTTTTATCCATGTACAGGCTACTTTTGGTCTGACCTATTAGTTTGATTTTCTTTTGATGATTTTGTATGTATCCTGACCCGTCATGCGGATAAAGAGATAGTTTTATTCAATAGTTGAATTTCAAATAGTTAAACTGATTTTATTAGCCTGTGGTCTTGACATGGAACTTCTGGAAAAAAGGGATATCCTTTAGGATGTGTTTGGTTTGAAAGAAAAGGTAGGGTTATCTTTCCTTACCTTTTTCTTTCAAACTAAATACAGCCTTAATGAGTTGGAAAGCTTTACGTTATTGTAGCGGTTAACATGCGCTTGCACATTTTGTTGTACACTCTTGGTAAACAGATATTGGAATTTGAAGTTTATTGCTACCTTCATATGTAGTTTGCTCATGTTTTGTTCTTGTCATAAGAATTGGAGCACTTTGATAATGTGGACTTCTATTATGTTCATCACTTCAAAATTTATGCTGGAGCTTGGAGCCATCCTGGTCTACCAAAGTATGAATGGCGAACTCTTATAAGTTGGGCTAGTTTGTAGATGACCATTTTTTTCTCAACTTCTTTGCCTCTGGTAACTTTCCAAGTCTCGTATATTGGTTCCAACTGTAATTTGTGAATCTCCTTATACAGAAGAGCAAAGCAGTTGGAGATTGGGTACAATTTGAAGGGGCTGAAGCTTTGGCTTCAAAAGTCTGGAGAGTTTCAAGTTGTCTAGTTTTAATCTGTAATAGCTGCATCAGTCCTTTTGGATTTTATATGACTATATAATTGAACTCTTCTTCTATGTTGATGTCAACTGTCTTGTATCTTTGATATATCTTGTTAATTTAAAGCTGTAGTGTTGGTATTTGTATACATTCAAAGAAAAATATATGCTTTTGCAGACACTGATTGGTTAGGGGAACAAAAAGAAGTGGGCGTTTTTTGTCAGTAAGAAAATTACGTGCACTTCTGGAAAATTCGAGCAAGCTGTTATTGGCATTTTAAGGGGACATTGCTTGGTGTAATGGTAAAATCTTGGGCTGACAAATGTGAGGATGCAAGTTCCAGTCTGAGAGTGGTCACTTTGTGCAAAAAACTGTGAAGGTTAAGTTCATATCCAATGACTCCTGATCGCCAGGACCAATGTTTACCAAAGAGCCTGTTAAAAAAAGAGGGAAGCTAATGTGGAAATGTATCAGAGCCGCTACCTTGTGGATTTTATGGGAGGAGAGAAATGCTAGAATATTTCAAGAAAAGGAAAGAAGTCTTGCTGAAGTCAAGGAATGTATATTGACAAAGACAATTTCATGGCTGAAATCTTCACAGTTGTTGGCAGATTTCTCCTTTGATGACTTAAGGAGAAATTGGGAAGCAGTGGCTTCAACAGTCTCCACCAAAAACAAATCACAAGTTGAATGGAAACCCCCACAGGATGGAGTGGTAAAATTGAATTTTGATGGCAGCTGCCAAGGTAACCCAGGGCCATCCGGAGTTGGTGGGATTCTGAGAGATAAAGACAGCAATATGTTGTCTCTTTTTTTCAGGACTAGTGGGTGAAGGTGATTCTGTAAGGGCAGAGCTACTAGCAGCGGTACACGGTACACAGATGGCTAGTCAAATTGGAGTGAACAATTTGTTAGTAGAAGGGGATTCCAAGGTAGTAGTGGACTGGCTGAATAGCCCAGACACAGTTTGTTGGGGCTACAGGGATCTGTTAAAGAAAGTTAAATGGATGACAAGAAATATGACTGTTAGGTATCAGTGGGTCAGCAGATCAGCAAATGCAATGGCTGTTTCTTGGCCAAGCAAGGGGTGTCAAGGGGAGATCTGTTTTGGGCTACTTTGTAATTTGTCTCAGGTTTGGGCATGTTTAGTGTATATGATTCAGTCCTTGGGGGAGGTAACATCTCGTGCCTCTTCCTAGGCTGTTTGTATTTCTGATATTTGTTTTAATAAAAGTACCCTCATTTATCAAAAAAAAAAACATTTAATGTGGGTCTAGGGCAGCAATGATATCATGACTTGTGAGATCTTAGATTTTTTCAAGGCTGTTCATAGAAGGTTGGGTGATGGTGATAGAGTGGGATTTTGGGAGGACAGGTGCTATAGGGATGCTCTCCTAATTTTGGTCTTCCTGATCCTGGATTTTTGTGGTGGTGGCTTAATGACAAACTGGTTATTTCTTTTAATTAACACAAGGTGGACAGTATCATGTTGGTCCTAAGATCTAAGAGCAACTTTAATGATTGGGATGTGAATTCTTTGAAGGATTTATTGGCAAGGTTGAATGACTGAGCTATTCTTGATTGAGAAGAGTCAAGAGATGGATGTAGAAAAGATCCCATAGATGAATTACTTGTTTTTTTCATTCTATTTCACTCTTAAACACAGGCAAGGCACATTTTAAGGCATGAGCCTCACATCAACCCAGACATAGCCCTTTCAAAAGGATACATCCCTGGTGCCTCAACCTAGGTGTGATCTTTGTTTTTTTTGTTAAGTAATAGGTGTGATCCTTTTATAAGTTTGTTTGGTTTTTTTCAGTCATATTTTATACATTCTTATGTCTTTCACACCTTTGTAATGGTCTATTAACCTCTAATTTAACTTTTATTGGTGCTTGTGTGACCAAAATCAGAAAACTGACCCCCCTTATATATATGAAATGTTCTGAAAGTTGAAATCGCACAGTAAATCATTTAGAAAATTGAACCAAATCGTGAATCATATAATAAACCGTAAGCTTATAGTCATCTCCTTCTCCCACCCCACTACCAACTTAGAATCACCTTCAACCATTAGGTTTCCTATATTCATCTCCTTTGCAATCTGGACTCCCTGTAATGCAGCAAGCATTTCAGCTCTATCAGAATCCCCTACTCCCACTGGTTGAGAACAGCCATGACATGTCCTTCTCTATTCTTTAATATCCCTCCCACTCTAGATGGGCTTGGGTTATCTTGACTGCTCCCATCAAAGTTCAGTTTCAAGTATCCTTTAGGCGGAGAAATCCAAACAGATTCTATCTTTATTTTTGAATGGAAGCTTCTTGCGACCCTAACCCAATTCCTCCAAAAATCATCAAAAAAGAATTGGCAAAAGATTTCCATAGTTCTTAACCAATATATTACTCTAATCATCACATATTCTTTGATTTCTTGCTTCTCTCCTTTTCTTGAAAAATTCTAGTATTTCTTTCTTCCCAAATAGTCTCTGTAGGAAAATTCCACTTGCAACCAAATAAAGAGAAACACCAATCCCAAAACTTTGTGCTTTGCTTCATTTTGGCAAGTGCCTTGTGCCTTGGGCTGGGTGCTAGAAGGCCTTTACACTTTTCTTATGTCTCACTTTTAAAACACTGGTTGAAGTGGAGGCAGCTCATTTCCCAGCAGATATAATTTAGAATGCTTTAGTTTGCATTTCAAGCTCCTTTATTCTTGTGGATTGCTCTTTTGGAGAACCCCCCAATGGTAAATAGTTAGATAATATTATCATAAAGTTCTGATCTTGTGTATTGAGAATTGAGAATCTATCTATTTTCTTCTCCTACATTGTAGATTTGGAAGGATGACATATTTGGCATTCTATAGAAAAAAGGGTAGAAGTAATTGGATGTTTGATTTTTGATGACAAAAAGTAATGTGACAAAAACTCTAATATATTTTGGAAATATGAATGCTACAGTTGCGTGAAGGATGTTGATCAAGGCAATGAAAATTCACTCAATAGCAATAGGAATAGGCAAGGTTCAAAATATCGATACGCCTGATACGCCGGTATGGGCGTATCGGGCGAATCAATACTGTTTTTTTTAGTTTATTTTTTATTTTTTTTTTCTGAAACTGGTTCAGGGGGGGCGGTTTAGGGTTCCTCCATCCCCTGAACCGGTTAGACCCCGATACAGCCACTATAGGGGCGTATCGGAGGGGTCCTGGAACGATACGTATCGGCTGATACGTGTCGATACTTTGAACCTTGGGAATAGGTTATATAGGAAAATAGAGAAAATTCACATCTTTAATCAAATTCTAATATGCTAAAATTGTGTGTACAAAATCTGGGCCTGGGGTAGTAGGAACAATATGTATTAGGAATTTGGGACACAATACCAAATTGGTGAAATGTGAAGGGGTTAGCTGTTAGCTGAGGCTAACACTTTGTAAAGGGGTGCAAGGCACAAAACCTGTAATGTAATTGTTGTCTTTTACCAAGTAATAAAGTTCTATTGTTACTTATGGTGGAAAAGGATTTTGCCCCCTTTGTATAGCCTGAAGAAATCAACTTGAACTAGGACTTTTGTTTAGACCATTAACTCCTACAAATATAAAGAAACCAGATATTTCTAAAAATAGTATCTTATGATTTAATATGAATACTTAGGGAATTACTATAAATAGTAAGTCCAAAAGTTACTATAAATAGTAATGTGTTCTAAGAATAGTAAATTTCTAGAGAAATTATCCCTGGACATCTCGAGCTCCTATTTAGGACTAAAATCTATCAATATAACTCCCAAGTATTTACCCTTGCAATGATTCTTTCAACAAAAAACTGAACTCTTTTCTACCTCAACTAGAGTCTACCATAACCAGTGTATGGACATGGACACAGACATGGGAATCAAAATTGGACACATTTGGGGATTTTGACTTGGCAAGGCAATGAAACAAGGACTTGAGGAGATGTCTATATAGATGTATACACTATTTTTTTTTTTTTTTTTTGGTGAATGATGTCTACATTATTAAACTATTCTGTATTTTGTTACTTGTTATTTATAAAAAAATGACATTCATTATGTACATTACAAAAGTGTAAGAGATTGTCATTGTTACTTATTATTTAGGAAAAATGACATTCATTGTATGCATTAGCTGTTAATTTCTGTTGATTAAGCAAGGAGAATAAGAAACATGCCACATTGAGGTGCAAGAATCCATGGAGTGTTAGAGTTCGACACATGTCCGACAAGGACACCATGCATTTAGGAGAGTCCATAACACTGGTCATAACTTAGATGCATCTTGACCAAAACTCATGAAACTTTAACCAATGATATTGCATATTTGGGCGAGTCAAACTATGGGGTCCACTAGTTGGATGTTTGACTTTGACTATTGACCAAAATCTGCAGTATTTGAAAAACAGCTCCAAAGATGCTTCAATAAAACACACTTCTGCTCATCCATTTTGGCTGAAACTTGGTGAGCATCCAGTACCATAAGATTACTAAGTAACAAAAAATTGGTTTTAATCCACCTAGTAACATGGGAGATATAGCCTGGTTGCTCAGGGCTGTTAGGTCGGACTGTTGGACAGTCATCTGTGCCACTTCAATTTTTTTTTTTCAGTTTTTTTTTTCTTTGCTTCTATGTCTGCATCACGAAGAAACTGTTTATCAGGTAGTAATTCACCAACACAAGAGGAAGAACTAACTGATATTCTTTCATATGTATCTTATTCTGATTACTCATCTTTTATGATTCATTATTTAATTGAACTCTAGAATTTGGGGTTCTAGAGAGATCTAATTTATGGTTCCTCATGACAATGGCTCATTGGTTACATTGTTTGCTTGGACTTGGAGCTTTCTATGTAAGCATTGGTTTTGGCTGATCGTTCTAATTGGGTCTTCAGGAGGATCGGATTTCTGAAACTGGCAATGAAGCTGAAATAAGAGAGTCTACTCTTTCTGCTCATGCCTGCTTTCTCATAAAAAACATGTCTCAGAGGGAGGAGCACATCCGAGATATTTCTGTTAGCTTGTTGATTCAACTTAGAGATAGGTTTCCACAGGTAAAGCTATCTTTACAATGTTATTGTTCTGTGCATATTAGTTCTAGAGACAATTTGGTTGTATGCCTGACAAGATGGATTTATGTACATGCAGATTTTGTGGAATTCTTCATGTCTTGATTCTCTTCTATTCTCTGTCAATAATGATTCATCTTCTTCCCTTGTAAATGATCCTACCTGGGTAACTACAGTTCGTTCTTTGTATCAAAGAGTTGTTCGGGAATGGATCAGCAATGCACTTTCATATGCGCCATGCACTAGTCAGGGTCTTCTACAGGTTTGCTTCCAAAAAAAAAAGTTTACCAAGAAAAATCGTTATGGTTGCACCATTTTTATCATTTCTTCTTTATAGTTCAAAAAGTATTGATTCTCATATACTTATTTTCATAATTGAAATGGTGAGCTTGAAATGGCCATTCTATTTTTTACAACAGTCTAGGTGTACCTTTATTTGATAAGTATTTTACTGGATTGGTTTTCAAAAATTTGTAGATACTGTTTGAGGAAGTGGCAGCAAGTGTCCAATGGGGTGAGAGATCAGTAAATGGTCTAGCAGATTGTGCTAGCTAGAAAAGGTGTTAAAAGACCAGCAGCAATGGGATTTGTGCCCTAGGGAGAATGATTTTAAGGAGGAAGAAAGCTGTAATGGGGTAGTAGACCTGTTCATGGGCTGGACTCGGGCTTGGCTTTTGTCAAAATTTCAATGAGCCCAGCCCGAAGCACGAACCTGCAACATTGTAAAGTTGGGAATGAAGCCCGACCCATGAACAGGTCTACGGGGTAGGTAGGCTGGGTCCTAGACACAAGTGGGGTGTTCTGGGCACACATCAGAATTATGTATATTGTATCATACATATTCTTTGCCACTATTAATAATTGTTTTTTTCTTTGATGACTAATCTTGAAAGTTTTCTATTAAAGTCAATTTCATACTAAAAATTATTTTATTGATTCCAATCTCAATTGATGTTTTGTCCATACAAATAATAGTCTTTTTTATTCTTAGGGTGATTGTCAAATGGATATATGAACATTTTATTCTTTTAATGGCATTGCTGATGTTTTTCTAATTTAGAAAAAAATTGTAGTTGAGACTTCTCTTGGCACCTTGTGCTACTTGAACATGAAGCTTATGTCCTTATGGATATGCCACTTTGGTAAATAAATAAATAACCTGTGTGTACTGGGGGGAGGTTTCCAAAACTCTAGTTAATTTTAAGAGGGAATTCTTTCCCATCCCTCACCTTTTTTTCTGAGTGAACTTTTTCTTCCCACGATCTCTTGCTCTCCCTTCACTCTGGGCAATGAGACTGATCTACAGGCCTTTTGTGTGCCTTTCTACCGTAGTCAACAGATATAGTAGAAATAACTCTTGCTTGCTGTTCTACTTTTTGCTTCTTTATTTGCTTGTTAATACTTCTTCTTTTTTTTTTTTTTTTTTTTGTGAAGCCTACTTTCACAAGCGAGGAAATTTCTGATTTAATGTGCCTTTCTATGCTGTTGTATTCTTGTATGCTCTCTATGTTGAAACTATTATTCAGTGGTTGGGTTATAGTTACTTCTTTCAGATTATTAATTGTTAAAATAATTTAGTTGTTGGTGTAAGGGTCTGTTTGGCTAGTTAAAGTGTTTTTTATTTCGTTTTTCACTTTTGTTATGTTTGTTATTGTACCCAGGGGCACAAGGGTCTTTCCCTTGTTATTTCTGCCGCCCTATATATATTATAATTGTTGAAGTTCGACCTGCCCTAGAATTCTGTCTTGTTCGTTGACTGTAAAGTAAAGTGAACAGCAAGAAGTAGAAGTAGGAGAGGAAAGAAGAA